CTTAGCAGTCTTGCAATCCATCCAAGAGATTTCTTGTCCGTGGACTATAAGATCGTTATGCCGCCATAGGTTCCAGAAATTAGCAATAGTCGTTTCTGAAATTAGAGGGGGAATTATGAGCATACTGATATCCAAACAGTCGCTTAGCAAGTGTTCGATTAAATCGTTCATCGATTGTCTGATCACGATGTAACGGGAGTGTCCTCGTCTGAATTTTTCATTGTCTTGTTTTATCAGCGATGTTACTACACAAATAAATTCTTTGCCATATTCAACCTGTATCAACTGTGGCCAACGCAGGCCATCATGCAGCATGTATCCACGTTGATAAATTCGCTGAAGCGCTGTTGAAACTTAAGCTACTGCTTTAGTTGACATTGGATCTGCTTGTCTGTATCTGCTTGCAACGTCGACGACAGTCTGTGCGTATTTGTATGCGCGTGGAAGATGTCTACCAGTTATAATATCATCATGGACAGGAATAAAATATCAGTCTGGAAAACTTCTTTGGGAGTGTTAACATAAACCGCTCGCTTTATGCGACGGCAGATAAATTTACCAACAAATCTGCGGAAAAAGCACGTGCGACACCTTCCGCATCAGCGAGTTCACAAATCACTGTTTTTCTCCTCTAGTATCCTCTTGTGCAATAATATATCAACTCCATATCATAATTATCGGCGATTACTTACCAGCTCCTACCGCTAGTTTACCGCCCATCGACGATCTTATCAACCAGTTGGCTAATGATTCTCTGGGATATATATTTTTACAGACTACAATGTGTGAATCAACTTAACGTCTAGAATATGTCGTTGCTGTCGATCTCGATTGTTATACGCGATGTCGTGAGTATGGCATATTTGATCATTCGCATTTATTGGATGCTCTCCACGTTTTGTATTTTTTTTTGGTCGAGTCGGATATTAAGTTGAGATGCAGAATCACAATAATTACATCCCGGAAGAGACTTCTAACTAGGGTACTTAGCCCATAAAGTCTTTGGCAATTTCCCAGTTGGAGCTGTCATATGACAACCTGTCTTCAATAGCGTCCGTACATACGCTGAGAAATGTTCTTCAGACCTGGTGTTCCGGTTAAATGGATATTGTTAGCTTTATAAACTTAATGGCACATGCGCAGAGGGATCCATATGGATTTATTACACATAATCTACATGATCCTAGATCACGATATTGCATTTAGTCTGGTCTCTTGCTTAGCATTCTCCCTGCGTTGCACTCCGCTATACAAAGTAAGGCGAATGCCGACGCCATATTGTCACGTGATCACAAGAAATGGCCTCGTATGGAGAGATCTCCTTAATCTAACCGTGGCACATTTATTACTTTAATATTATGTTTGTTGGTGAAACAATACGAACTTTGCTACTACTTTTGATTTAAACTATAACAGTCGTTATCTTGTGTTCAAACTTAACCAGCAAATCAGTGACGTAGGCAATTTTACAAATATTTCTACAAGTAGGCGAAGATGAAGTAAAGTGATGCACACGACATTATTTTGTAAATATTGTATAATTTTTTCAAAGTCATCTCAATAATTCCTTTTCCAATCGCTTCCTGATAAATTTTACGCAGAAATTGATATGATTCACCAGACACATTTTCAGTTATGTGTACCACATTTTTTAAAAAAAAAATCTTAAAAATAAAAAATGTGATCTAGATATGAATTTACATATTCTTACATGTTGCCAAGAAGTTCAACTTTTTTAAAAGCCTAACAGAAAGTATAACTCTTACATAATGCACCAACCACAGCTAGTTTTATTGTTTATTTCTGAATACAATGTTCACTACACATTAGGCTCCACCCACCTGGGGTTGGACAATTGGTACCCTTTTACCTGTAGCGGAGAGCAATTCAGGACGCATACTGAGCAGGGGACCAGACTATATTGCATTGGCCTCGATAAAAGTTTTGGTTGCGAGACCTGCCGCCGGCAGTTACTATTGTTTTGCTCGTAAACCAGCATCCGCCTGTAAACAGCGGCGCAGACAATCGACGATCTACCCCGGTCGTTCCCCAGTCATCCACAGTAGCTGGGATGGACAACGCATAGGTCTACGATCAAGCCTCCTTAACGCGTTAGAAGCCTCGATTTCACCTTTTCGACCTTGTATGTCCATTTTGCCTGGTTCTCTAATAGGGTATTCTAATTTGTAGACCTAGTAGTTTGTCTAGCCTCCTTTTTACTAATATAATTTTACCTCTCTCCGAAAACCAATAAAATCTATGCAAAGCAGCTTTGTGATACTCTATGTGATTAAAATGTACAGTTATTTTTGTGTTTGCTAGAAATTTGTCATTTTGTTTTTTTTTTTCAGTTTAATTAATCCCAGCATGTGTGTTTGGTGTTTAAAAATAATTTTGTCAATATGAATCACTTAAGTAGTCATATCAGGTACTTTCAGTGTTTAAAAAGGGCTAACATTGGACAGGGTTGGCTGACTGGAAATCTTGTATTTTTGTATTATTCCCCCTTTGTCCGATTAATGTCTAATGGATATGATCCCGATAAGTCAGAATAGAGTTGAAATCCAGACACTTTGTTTCGATGACAAACTTTTATATTTTATAGTACTCAAAGCCATTGCTAGAAAGTAGCAGCAATTGTGAAGTAAAGAGGATGAAATTCAACACCCGTTTGGCATCTACATTTAATAGGACAAAATAGGACCAAAAAAAAAAGCATCGATACTTTCAACAGGTAAGATGACCATTAAATCTACAGCAGTTCAACAGTACATCATATTCCTTACAAGCGAGCCCATAAATTCTCTCTCTCTCTCTCTCTCTCTCTCTCTCTCTCTCTCTCTCTCTCTCTCTCTCTCTCTCTCTCTCTCTCTCTCTCTCTCTCTCTCTCTCTCTCTCTCTCTCTCTCTCTCTCTCTCTCTCTCTCTCTCCTGTGTGAGAATTATGCTAGTTTAACATGCATTGCCTATTTTTGGAAACTGAAGTCGAATACCAGGAGAAAAGAAATATATAGAAAAACAAGAGAAAGGTATTTTGTTTTATTTTCGAGATATATAATAAAAGATATACATAGTGTAGAATGGAAACTATATTATCGTATTATTGTATTACTCAAATAAAAAGTAAATAATTCATTGAAAAGCGGAAATTCAAAAAAAAATGTTTTCCCCATACTCTTTTTTCAGCATCATTGGATATATCACTAAGGTAATTTTAACAAGTTTGAAAATATGTTGAATTTCTACTCAATACAAAAATAATACAATAGTACTTTTGTTTTGTACAAGAAAATTTAGTTCTCACTTGTTAAAAGAAAATCAAAAGAAACGAATATAATTATGTAGTGTTATTGATGATGAATTTCATATGAGCTATTTTTTTCACAATATTTTTCAAATCATATTATTGAATAAAATGTAGAGTCACCTCCAACTTGAAGACCACGCAGGGAAGCTTTTCGTCATGTACATTTCGATATTTAATACAAAAATTTTACTAGTTTATGAATGAATGTTAGACTAAAACTTAAGTACAACCTTATGATCACAGCTCACTTAGTAGAAACAAATATGAAAATATGTTAGAAAATGCCAACAAAATACTGGTAAAGACAATAAAACCCATTTTTTTAACAGCCTGGTTGTGGCTTTATATGGTTTGCTACAATCCCATGTTGTCCAACTCCCTTTGCATTTGACAAACAGCGCACATTCCACAGAAAGACAGGGCCATACAGTCACTGCAAATTGAACCCTGGGAAAAAAGAACGACATTGATAGAGACATAGTTGAATGGACCAATCTCGACCTGAACGTGTAGTACTACCAGAAGTAATAGTGTCAACGTCACATCAGTAGCAGTAGTAGTAGTAGTAGTTATATTGTAATATTGGTAGCATCAGTAGAAGTAAGTGATGTTATTCTGTAATATTAATTATACCATAATATCAAGTAGTAGTATTGTAACATTAGTAACATAGTAGTAGTAGTAGTTATATTTTAATATTAGTAGTAGTAGTTGTTTTGTAATATTAGTAACATTGGTAGTGGTAGTAGTGGCTGTAGTAGCATTGGCATATTAGCAACAAACGGTAGTAGTACTATTGCAATACTACTAGTATCTGTAGTTGTAATAATAGTATATTATTTTAATATTTGTAGCAATAGTAGTTTTAATTATATTTCAATTTTAATAGAGTCGGTAGTAGTAGCTCTGATATTCCAATATTAGTAGAATCAGCTGTAATAGTAGTAATATTGCAATATTAATAATATCATTAGTAGTAGTTATATTTTACTATTGCAATATTAGTAGCATCGGTAATGGCAGTATTGTAATATTAGTTGCTTTGGTAATAGTAATAGTAGTAGTATTGTAATATGTGTAGCTTTGGTAATAGTAATAGTATTGTAATATGTGTAGCTTTGGTAACAGTAGTAGTATTGTAATATGTGTAGCTTTGGTAACAGTAGTAGTATTGTAATATGTGTAGCTTTGGTAACAGTAGTAGTATTGTAATATGTGTAGCTTTGGTAATAGTAATAGTAATAGTATTGTAATATGTGTAGCTTTGGTAATAGTAGTAGTATTGTAATATGTGTAGCTTTGGTAACAGTAGTAGTATTGTAATATGTGTAGCTTTGGTAATAGTAATAGTAGTATTTTAATATGTGTAGCTTTGGTAATAGTAATAGTAATAGTATTGTAATATGTTTAGCTTCAGTGCTGTTGGTTATATTGTAACATTAGTAGCATCGTTAGTGTGTTGGTTTTATGAATTGGATTTTTAACTTACATTTAATACTGTTCCAGTCACATTGCTACGATGTCTGCAGTGTTAGCAGTTTATAATAACATCAAGCACTGGGACATCATGCCACAGATATGTTGCACCATGTCCCATCCAGTCACATTATCCTGACAACAGGCCCAGTACTAACCTCTTAATGCCGAGAGCCTAGGGAGGCCGCTGCAAGTTCCATTTGTAAAAGTCTTTGGTATGACTCAGCTGGGGTTCGAACCTTCAACCTACGGCATCCGATGCGGACGCTCTAACCACTTAAGCCACCGAGCGATTCATCGTTAATATTATTACTTATATTTTAATATTAGTATCGGTAGTATTAGTAACAGAAATAGTGCTGAAATATTAATAGAATCGATAGTAGTATTAACTGTAATGTTAATAGCACCAATATTAGTAGTAATTACTAATAACTACTACTAGTAATAATCATATTGCAATACAACTACTAATAGTAATGATGCTACTAATATTAAAATACTATTATTGCTACTACTAATATTACTATGCAACAATAACAACAACTATACTACCTATACTACTGATTCTATTAACATCACAATTACCACTGCTATCGATGCTATTAACATTACTCAAAATCACTCTATATGTTTTAAAAAGTTATTGTTATCAAGCTACTTCATTCATACCCATATCTTTTTCTCTAATAAACCAACGAAAAAGTTCTTAATAAAACGTAACTCACTGTCTTGAGTCAAGATCAATTTAGAGAGGGAACTCTTGTCTGGCATGCACTAACAATCAAACACACAGTAAGGATATATCTGCTAGTCTTGCGGTTAATCTTTCACTTAGTCGTTCATGAGTCGATCCGTCATTCGTGTATTGACTATCTGTTAGTTGAGCATAACTGAAATGTCAGTCCTACACTAATCTATCAGTCGTGCGTTAATTGATACGTCAAACTATCTGTTGTGCATGAACCTTCAGTCGTTCATATATCGATCTGTAAGTCATGCATTAGCCCATTAATCAGTCGTGTATTTATCTATCGGTCGTGCAATATTAGCCTTGCCGCCAGTCGTGCATGAATAGATCTGTCAGTCGTGCATTAGCCGTCCTGTCAGTCGTGCGATAATTTATTTAAGTCAGGCGTTAAGATAAATAGGTCAGTCGTATATTAATCTATCTCTCAGTTGAGCATGAATCTATTGTTCAGTCTTGCATGAATCGATCTATGAGTCGTGCATTAATCGACATGTTAGTCGTGCATTAATATATATGTCAGTCAAGTATGAATTGATTTGTATGTAGTGTATGAATTTTGTCAGTCATACATTAATCCATCTGTCAGTCATACATTGATTGATGTGTAAGTCGTATATTAATTAATATGTCAGTCGTGGATAACGTTTATGACAGTTTCAGATGTTTACATAACGGACAAAATATAATGTTTGCTTACTAATATTTCTGTTTTGAACAATCAAGTTCAGTAAATATTTCATTTCGTAAAGTAGAATAAGGATATTTTATAATAATAATTTTTAATTTTGTATATTCAAATGTGAACTCAGCTAGTAAGATTTTTAAAGTTTTGTTGTGTATATATATATATATATATATATATATATATATATATATATATATATCACATGTAGAGTTTGTAAGGTATTTCTCAAAATAAGTGATGTATTTATTCGCGTGATGCCAATGGTATCAACGTCTCACAATTTAAAAAATTTCCAAACCGTTTACAAACATCAAAGCCTTCATTTCTAATCTACTTTTTATTTACACTGTTTACACAAAATTACATTTCTAAAGAATAGTACAACACAATTCGAACCCAGGCAAAGTACAATCACTAGCACTTAGCCTTCTGCAATCTTCACAAAATTATACGAATAAAATTTCCTAGAGACATAAATCAGTTTTATATTGGGATCTTGTACAAGCATAGCTTGAATATTATCAAGATAAGGCAGCTTTTCGTAACTTAAGATAAACTGTTTCAAACTACTTGATGGCAAGAAAAGAACTGGGAGTCTGGCCCTGATTATGTGCTGGTAAAGTTAAGCAAGTGAAAAAAACCATTAAAGTGTAAGTATGCATGCAAGCCCGACTTGCTACAATATATACCTAAAATCGTCCATTATGTGAGGCAACATTATGAAATTCTTGATAATTTTTTTTTACATGTATCTACTTTTGCTTTTAAAAATAACAAATGCAGTACAAATTACTTTGCTGTGGTCGACTACCATTTTTGAAAGTGAATGTGTTCATGTGTGCTATCAAAATGGTCAAGTGATTGTATTCTAGTGTGCCATATAAATGGTCAAGTGACTGTGTTCATGTGTGTTATCAAAATGGTCAAGTGACTGTGTTCATTTGTGTTATCAAAATAGTCAAGTTACTGTGTTCAAATGTGCAATCAAAGTCGTCAAGTGAATGTTCAAACGTGCTATCAAAATAGTCAAGTGACTGTGTTCAAGAGTGTTATCAAAATGGTCGAATGACTTTGTTCAAATGTATTATAAAAATGGTCAATTGACAGTGTTCAAGTGTGCTATCAAAATAGTCAAGTGACTGTGTCCAAGTATGCTTTCAAAAAGGTCAAGTAAATGTTCAAGTGTGTTATCAAAATGGTCAAGTAACAGTGTTCAAACGTGCTATCAAAATAGTCAAGTGACTGTGTTCAAGTGTGTTATCAAATTGGTCGAATGGCTGTGTTCAAATGTGTTATAAAATGGTCAATTGACTGTGTTCAAGTGTGCTATCAAAATGGTCAAGTGACTGTGTCCAAGTATGCTTTCAAAAAGGTCACGTGAATCTCCAAACGTGCTATCAAAATAGTCAAGAGACTGTGTCCAAGTGTGCTATCAAATTGGTCGAATGACTGTGTTCAAGTGTACAATCTAAATGGTCAATTGACCGTGTTCAAGTGTGCTATCAAAAGGGTGAAGTAAATGTTCAAGTGTTATCAAAGTGTGCTATCAAAATGGTCAAATGACTGTTCAAGTGTGCTATCAAAATGGTTAAATGACTGTTCAAGTCTGCAATCGGAATGGTTCAGTGACTTTTTAAGTGTGCAATCAAAATAGTCAAGTGTAGGTGTTCAAGTACCAGCGGAAGTTAATTCTTAAGTATATAACACAGGTTTCGCAATGGCCGAAATTCAAGTCTCTCTCTTAAAGCTGACTAAGCATGTCTTACGTCGAGACTTGACTTTTAGAACTACGTTGATAAAATTGGGATCAGGTATTTGAACTGTTTGAACACCTCCCGAAATACAAAAGGGCTAGTGTGTAAGTACCCTGACTCCTCCTAGCGTCCTGATCCTGGCACGGAGGGCGATCAAACCACCCGGCACGAACCACGGCATACACATGCACTCCCCGGTCCGTGACGAGATGTTACAAATTGCGCACGGTAGACAGCAGTAGGTCATAATCACTACAATGTGAAAGAAATACACAGGTGGAGCTGATATGACTCAATTGTTTAAAAGTTACCTAATGGATATATGATATATGATTTTATCATTTCTAAATAAAGGCGTTAGTCTTTTGACATATAACATATGGTATGGTACATACGATAACTTTGGCAGCTACGTGTTGATTATGTCCCTTAAACATACTGATATTAGAAATATTAATATCAAATTCATCCCTAATTCCATGTTTACCCATACAAACAATTGTCGGCTTGGAAACTTTATTCAAAAATTGGATAACCACTAGTAAATTCTTATACACAAACTGGTCAAAAATTAACAGATAAAACCAGTATCATTATTCAACATCACTGCATGGTATCAGACATGTTTTCTAAGAACTAAAAATAACGTTATCTTATATAAATACTGGAATTCTTAGCCAGCAGTATGATATAAAAAAAAAAACAATTGCTAATTCACAACTTTCGTGATATGCAGTCTGGATATTACAGATACCATTACTAGTTCACAACTTACGTGATTTACTGTCACATATCTTTGCCAGATAGGCTGTTTAAACATGAAAGGACCTTAGACACGTCGTAGCCCTCATTACAAATTGTTATTACGTTTAAAAAAAGCGTATCGTTTTTTAGCTAAATCACTTTGGTACTCTTTCAAGCCCCATATTTGTATGGTATAATACTCAGAAGTGATATTATTGAATGTCTAAAGAATATCTTTGAGTTGTCTACATGGTATGGCCGCATTCCTTAAATGTATTTAGACGTTCCCATGGAGGTCTATGGAACAGTGACTCAAGCATCCATTTTTTGCAAATGATAATTTTACACTTAATGAAAAATTAAAAAAAGATAAAAGCTATTTATTGCAAAGTATATAAATGGAAACAGCTCCCTCAAGGAAATATCTTAACACTATCCAATATCAAACTGGATTTGCTATTTAGCTTTTATCAGCACAGAATTTTGGGGTAAAAGTATTAAGAATGAAATTTTCTTTAGGTCGTATTCAAAGTAATTTTTCATTACATTATATTGGAAGTAATTACCACTAAAATATAATGAGTTTAAATTTATCTATTTCTGTACTATAACTGCATACTATTTTCATAAAGATCGCGCTTTATGAGCATGTCCAAAAATAATCCATAAAATACAATTCCCTTGTATCCAAAGGTCAGCACATTTTAGACTTGATCATAAGCTGCTGATCCGACAGTTTGTTAGTTCCCTAATGGATGAGTTAGCTAGATAATTCACGCCTTTCCCGTGGGAAAGGATGAGAGCCAGTTCTGATTCGAAATAAACAAACACAATTGTCTATAATTAGTCCCGAGGACAAGTTCAAAGATGTGTATAAATTGAGACCAAGCTGACGTAAAATCAGTTCGTTCATTGAAGAATTAGAAGACTTTTCTTACATGTAAGAATCGTCTGTGTTCGTATACTCTTGTAATTATAGGAACATTTTAATATTGAGATTTTAACGGTAAAGTTCAACCTAGACTTAATATTTTTGCAACATATTTTTAAAGTTGTTTCTATTCCATATTATAATCTAATGGAATGTTTAATTGTTTCAAAAAAATTATATTGTATTTCTGGTATGTATTATTGGAAAAGAAGAATTCGCTACCAACTTCATGTTTAGATTTAATTTTGAAATTAAATATTCATTAATTAAAAAAAGAATAATGTTTTGGTAACCTATTCCAAATTAGTATTCTATTTTAAATTTTGAAAATACATTTATTCAAACATTCATACATATTTTCAACTACTCAGAATGCTACGCTTATAACACTCCGTTCCTAAACTACCGAAAAACACTAGTCCAATCT